AAGTTAATTAACAAACGGAGACGTAACACTTCCTTTTATTTGTTACAGTATTATATAAGTACTAAAAACTGATTTAAGTTGGCAATATCCGAGGTTTAGTAAAATTTTATGGCAAATTTTGGATTGTTCCGAGTTGGTGTTATCAATTGCATTCTTATGTCAGCAGTGTCACCTGATAAAGGGATAGATTTTCGTGCCTCACTGCAATTATCTCCATGTATAATTTCTAAAGGTGTGGTGATACAATTGTATCGATATGATTTATGTAACTTCACGAAATTTGGCAAGCTTTCATTAAACATTATGTCTTTTGTACAAAAATAAAAACAGAATTTCTAATAAAGCATTTTTTGCTAAAAATTAATGATTCAATAAAGAAAGACGAGTATTGAGTACTAAATGCTGTCTTCATTTCTTTATCAAAACATAACAAATTAACAATAACAAAATACATAAATAGATATTAACTATTTTTTATTTTACTTTTCTTGCCAGCTGCCATTTAGTTGATCAAACCTGAGAATTTGAAAAAGCACAGTAAAATGTGAAGTACTTAATAAGACAATGTTAGTAATACAGATAATAAATTACAGACAAGACTGTTAAACTTTGTAACAAACCGTTGGTGAAACTTCTGTATCTAGACACGTATCGTATCGACTACTATGATGAGATACGCACCCCTATATTAATTTCATACATTTTATGGTAGGAGGAGGAATTAATGTATCTTCCATATTGTGTGCTTCATACTTTTTTCCAATCAGATAGGATGCTGCTAAAGAAAATTTAAGGCTTTTGATGGAACAATGAATTGCTTTTCAAACAAGCTTCTTTCCCTTTCAACTGTCAGAAGAAGAACTCAATGGTTTTAATTTACATGCCCAGGGTGTTAGGTTTCAAAGTGCCTTGTTTATTTGGCTTCATGCTGCTATTAGATAAAATCTACATACAAATAATGCACTGTGGTTGTTTCTTATTATTAACAACTCAGTATAAGTGAAATAAAATTGTAAATAACCATCCTGGCACGTATACACTCTAATTTTTAGTTTGGCGTTCAGTTTTTGACGAAAGCAGTAGAAATGGAAACCAAGAAAATGCTTGGTCCAGTTACAGAGCCAACGATTTGTTCTTCATATCATCATCATTTAATTATTATTTCTGATCCATCACTCCAAGAAACATGAGATTGTATTCTGCCAATACGTAACACTCACTAATCCATGTTTTCGACAAACTAGGAAATGTACACTAATGTCCAAAATTTGAACTTTAACAAGCCGACAAATATTTTGGCTATTCAATCAACAATCATGTTGTTTTTCACAAGGAATGTAGCCATGACTATGGGCTACATACCCATATCATTGGTTTACAAACAATTATATGATAGTTAGGGCTGCCAGTTTACCACATCTAAAGCATCTCTCCGCACTGATTAAGGGAGTGTTGCTGCTTGGGTTTTTGAATGTTTGTAATGAAATTTTCTTTTTTTTAAATATTGCACTTGTGATGTATAAATGGCTATTTTTGCAAGCAGCAAAAATAACAAACATACAAAGGCAAATCAATAAATACAATGGAAGCTTAATTAGGTAAATTTGGGGGGGGGGGTATATTGATTAAACAGATTCAGGGATGACTGACCAGCGTTACCTATCAACTGTGTTCAAATTATAAAGCAAAATAAATAGTGGTTTGAAGGACAACCACCCTGTTTCGTAATTTACAGATTTCAAATTATTGCCAATAAACAGTGAAATGCAGTTTTCGGACAGCCATTGGAGTGAGAACTTTTGCCCATTTGTATGTATAAGAAGTTAATTCAGCTGTGTAACTCCCCTCTTCAGCAAGGAGTTAATCTCTACTTGTTCCTTTTGCAGCCCATTTGCTTATCCAACTCCCCACTCTAACCTATTCGTATATATACTGTACATGTCATTTTCCCACATTAATTGGGGTTACTATATTACTTAATAGTAGTAATGTTTGCAGTGCTTTTAAAACGTTTATTTTTAACTTTGTTCTTTCATTTATAATTTATATGTTTCTATAGTCATAGTTGCGTGCCCACTAACGATTCAACACAACCTCCTTGAGGGTGCAACCCTCTGCTCTAGACCACTGTAACTTGTACTTTAAAACCAGCAAATTACAAGGCACTGGAAAAAAAAGGCCCTGAGTTAAGATTATAAGAACTTTATCGAAAATGTGTTGGTTTTGAATTTAGAGAAATGACAAGAGGATCCAGAGAATTCTCACTTTGGAGAAAATGAAATAAGAGCACTGACTGATCAACTGAGAATCAATCAGCAGGAAACACTTAGGATTTATATAATACAAGACCTCTGCAGACAAAGCTTCCTGAAAAATTAAAGATCCCATTATTGCTACAAGCAAAGCTGACTGTGGAAAGAGATTCAGTGTAATAAGAATCATCATTACGGTTACCACTCATCACACAATGGACTTTTTTTTATTCATTTAGTGTGTGGGATCTCCTTATACACATATTTGGCAAGGAACATGTAGACCTCTGCTTGTTTGTATCGAATACCATCATAACATAAAATAAGTGCTTGTTCAAGCTGGTTTACCTGACATAAATAAGCTGGACAAGCATACATATGATAGTCTGCATTACTCACTCTGTTAAACCACTAGACTGAGAGTGATAAAACAATATGCATCTTCAACACACCCAACACTTCACACAACTTGGAGAATAGTTGGCTGCTGAAATTAACTCCCTGATCCACATGGTTTTCTGGTGCTCGGAATAAGCTATGGCCTGTGCTAAAGTATCATTAATTTAATAAGCCTTGGCCCTCTTCGTAAAGTAATCAATAGTAATCTGTCTCTAGAAGGTGATTAGCTATTTCCAGGTCTATTTTGTGTTGGAGATAACAAACAATTCTTTGTGGGAGTTTACCCTGTTTAGACCAGCCTTTTCCCTGAATTGAGCCTTGAAATCTGCCTGATGGATAGCTTTGTTACCCACCGTTTCAAAAGGTTGGTACAACACAACTACAAATGTATTCCTGTCCAACAGTATCTTGTTGTTTAATGGAATCAAAGGCTGGACAATCCAAACTCAAGATCAAGTGTTGCCTCACATGTTCCCAAATCCAACTATTCCAAGCAGTGATCTGCTTGATAGTGCTTCAGGAAATAGATCAGACTCTCTTACACCAGATAATTATACAATGGGGAGGAATTTGTTTCATCCGACTCACATGGACGTATTGTTGTGACATAATCTTTTCTCTCATTAACTCTCAATCCACTGCTAGGTTGTGACATCCTAAATGCAGAAGGTAAATTTTAGGAATCATAATCAGAGGCTCCACACTTGAATTAGCATTAAGTCTCTGTTCCTGGGTGGCAGAACCATGAGTTACCAAGGGCAGCTTGTTCATCAGTTCTGCACAATTCTGGGTTTCTCCATAACTCATGGTCACCCTGGCAGTATACCCCCTGTAATAGATATGTTCATGAATATCCCATGGATCACCATCTTCACCAGATGATCCTTGCTGTTTTGCCTGCTGTTGGGACAGCTTAGGCTGGTGAACAATGTTCACTAGCAGCACCTCCAGTCTCTCTTGGCTACTTTTGGTGGTGAGCTATTCTGGTCAATGAATGCCTAAGTATCCTGTAGAGAACACTCCATTCCTAGATTGACCCCTGGAGAAAAACTCAATCAACAGTTCTGGGTGCAACAGGTTCAAGCAGTTTCTAGAATCTGCTACCACAATGAGAAAGAAGGTATGGAACCTCACAGAACTGGCTAAAGCCCAACATCCAGGAGACCACTTCTCAGGGACACGGACCACTCTTTTAGACAGCCATCTATCCTCAATGACTAACTCTTTCTCTTGATTGCAAGTCCTTTGATTCATGGATATTGTCATTTCTTCAATTAAGAAGCCTTAAGCTTAATGCAAGAGTTCAGAAGAGTACAGGAAAATACACTTGTCAGAAGAAAAACAAATCCTGTGGTCATGACCAAAAACATTCTCATTTTTCTCTCTTCTGGAAATTCTTAGGTTCTCTATTTTTTCTAATAATATTCAAGTAGGATCCAAAGAATAACAAATTTCATCAGGAAATGTATCATGGAGTAAGTGTGAATTCTGTGACTTTGAATGAGTTGTGATCAAAGGAGAATGGAAACAACTAAAACAATCTTTATCTTACAAAAAACAAACAGCGATAATGATTGTGTGGGTACCTTTACTGGAGACAGGGCTCTAAAAAAGCATGAAGAAAATCTGTCAAAAATTCTGTCTCGGATAAAGAAGATATAGTATTATACACAGAACACAATAATGCTGTTACTTCCTACGGCACATGAACTACTTACATCCATCATTGTTGGTCATTCCCATGAACAATAAAGATTGTACTATTAAGGTATCACTGCTCTATCAGTTGGAAAGTTTGCTGTCTACTTTCACATCTAGAATGTTCAACTTTACAGAAATCTTTCGTACGAGAAAGTACTTGTTACCATGGATGATAGATACAAGTACATTCAACAAAAGGAACTTAACTAATTTGTTGACTAAAGTTCTATGCTAAACCTACAAATGCTGTAGGTATGAAAATATATGACACATAAGGGGTTAAAAGGCACTTATTATATCTACATGTATTACATACAGATTTTAAAGTTTAACTCTAATATATTTTGGCTATTTCTCCCATTATTTACAATTGCTCTCTAAAAGTATATTCATGTGCCCAAGTATATCACATATATTCACAGCTAAGTTTTTAAGTATAAATGGAAAGAGTAGTTTAACAGACATGTACATAACAAGATAATGTTATTCAGAAATTTGTCCTTTACAATATCTTCAATTTTTGTGATACACAGACAAGGAATGTTTTCTGTGATGACTGAGACATTAATTGTATTAGTTTAATTCGTAACTAATATAAACAATAGAGGCACCAAACTGAAGAGTTTATCATTTTTCAATGTACACTGCTTTTATTACAAGAATATACTAGTTATTAGTTTCACAGCTGGTTGGGTTTCCAATAGATTAAACTTTTATAACTAATAAAATTTCCTTTGCTCAAGTGAGATCATCAGTAGGAACAAATATACAAATCACACATCATACACAAAGAAAAGGTCTGAAGATTTCATTATTATTTTGTGAGTAAACTTTTTATACCTAGTTCATTTGTCAAAAATAATGTAATATTATAACCAATTTGCATGAATTAATGTCATATAATTTTATTCTAAAAGATTAAATTCAGTTATTTACTTCAATAACCTTTATTTTTAAAATACTCCGAGATCATGTACATAGTATACTATCCTGTTGAGTCTGATTAATACCATACAGTGTTTACTCTTAAATATTTTTCTAGTAACATTGTAATTTACTTTTTAAAATACTCTGACATAATATGTAACACTGAATTTTTCATGTTCAATAATTAACAAAAAGTTACTTTAATACAACAGTTTGTACACTTTAATGATTTTTTGAGTACTCTAAAATAATATACTAAGAAACTTGATCTCTTTGATAAACCTCTTAATTTCCAACCAATAGAACACAGAGTCTTGAACACTGCAATTAGTGGTATAATTCTTGATTACTCATTAGACTTTGTACTATCATCTTCGGAATGTGCCCAAAAGAGATGTCTATTCAGATAGTGGCCAGTTGTAAACACCTTATCACACTTAGGACACACGTAGAGCTGTTCCCGTGAACCATGAACTTGTCGCATATGCAGGTTATAATGGTCCTTTCGTTTTATGTGCTTCCCACAGAGATTGCATTCATACTTGCTTGTGCTGGGGTAGTGAGTTGCAAGATGCCTATTCAAAGACGATGAAGTTGCCAATTTCTGACCACATACTGGACAAGTGGATGTAACCTTCACACCTGAAAGTCACAGCACCAATCATTGTCATACAAACACAAGTTTTAAAAAAAATTAAACACAGATTACATAAATGTCATAATGAAACTTGTTTTTGCCTTTTTCAATATCATGTAATATTTAGCAAGTGTTTAAAATAATTATCATCATCATAAAAACACATAATTCAAGATCCTTACTGAAATTGAAAGAATTAATTATGAATAAAATTTAGGTTTAAGTTGAAATAATATCTAAGTACCACAAGTTATTCACTGACCCTTAACAGGACTCAAATTGAATTGCAATTATAATGATTACTAAGATAACCATTATGGTTTCCCAGTTTCGTTTATATGATCTATTTATATATATATACACACACACACATTTTCTTCTCCTTTTACTGGCAAGATCATTTTACAGAAACAAAAAGTTTTAGGATTTATACATTGGTTGTGCACAGTATGGACTGAATTGTATAGCAATCTTTAGAAAGATTTTCTATATGCACAGTATTAATGCAAGTTTATCCATCAAGAATTTGATGAAAACTCACACAATAGACACATTTACTGTTATAATCAACTTGGGATTTGAAGTCTAGTGTTTAGTGTTCATTCTGAACTTTCCTATCATTGAAATGCTAACAACTTTCTATCTTTTCTCTACTTCATATTAAAGTCTCTTAATGCATAAAAAATTACTTCTTTTCAATAAATACTGAGAAGAGAAAAATGTTACAAAATTACAGACTAAGTACTGAGCTAAATAAGTGAAAAATGAAACAAAGTAAAATCAATTACTGAAATAGATTTATAAATCAAACCAAACTATTTACCCTTTGTTTTTTGAATTTTATGGAAAGTTACTCAAGGGTTTATTTGCTTTAGCTGTCTCTAATTTGGCAGTGATAGACTAGAGGGAAGGCAGCTAGTCAACACCACCTACTGCTAACTCTTGGGCTACTCTTTTTACTTAAGAATAATGGGATTGACTGTCACATCATAACACCCTCCATGGTTGAAAGTGTGAGCATGTTTGATGACAGGAATTAATATTTACCTTACGATGTTTGTTGCATTACTGAATAATAATGCACATTATATAAATATAAGTAAATGATAATTAAAAAGTATACAAGTCTAAACACACAATTTGCATTTCAATAACATTTGAATTTTAGATACCAATTACTGGACCTATATAGTGCAGTATTAGGAGGCAACATAAACTCAGCAACAATCTGCAACTCAGTGAAATCACATTTTTTAAAACATAAACATCAAATTATACTTTACTTTATCCATAACAACTCCATTAGTTTAATACTTCAATTCAATAAAAATAATACTGGAAATATTGTTCCAGTGGAGCTTTAAGCATAGTAAGTTTGAAAACATTAATGGACTAAAACTGCCTGTTGAAAGAAAAGGAAGAAGGTCTCAGTACAGAAGAAATGTTATCTCCTTTTCTTTCAATAGGCAGTTGTATTCCATTAAAGTTTTCAAACCTACAATGCTAGAAATACTTTCAAATAAAAAATATAAATAGAATGTTAAAAAAAGGCACATAAAGCAACATGTCAGTACTTATGGGGAAGTATTCAAGCCTAATGATATGGAACAAATCTGTATAAGGTAATCTGGTAAAGCCAGTTCAATTTACTCCATTTGTGTGAAAGAAATATAAAAAAAAATATTCAGTATGTCAGCCTGTAATGTTAAAGACTAGTGAAAACTCTTAAGTCATGTCAAACAACTCAGGCTTTGAAGTTAAGGTGATTAGAATATTTGCTTGATGCTGTTATGTCATATGAGCCACACCCCCCCTAAGAAATAGAGAAAGAACCAATGTACTGTATGGATTGGTTTTGTTTTGAATTTCCTGCAAAGCTACTCGAGGACTATCTGCACTAGCCTTCCCTAATTTAATACATTACAAAGACAAAATACACAGGGATTAAATTGTGTCAGCAGATGACAGGATATAGGTATAGATTAAGTCTGGTCAAGTTATATAAACCTTATATTGTTTAGTACTGATCATACTTGAAGCAGACAGACCAATGTTCTGTCAAAACATGTAGCATGTTCCACCATCAATAGAACTTTTCCTTATGCTTAGAAATTGTTGTTTGCTTACCTACTATTAAGTTACCAGCTTGTTTTATGGTATTCACTATCACTGGGGTTTACACATTGAACTGTAATGCCTACTTTTATGCTTATGGCAGTTACATATGGTGTAAAGAGCTGATAACATATCGGAGTGAAATCACCCATTTTCTATGTAAAACACATATAGAATCCCAGCATTAATTAGTGGAATTAACTGCAACTTCCATGGTATTTTTAGTTTGGCTCATGTGTTATTATGTACTCTGTAACAAACAAAGTAATGGACTTACAAGCAATTTGGTGCATAAAAAGTTTATAAAAATTTGTTTCAAAACTGCTTAGGCCCTTGTTGGTAATTCTACAGTTACAGTTAGATAATATAGCTACACATAAAACAATGAGATGAAAATATGTTATTTAAAATAATTACAAAGAAAACTGTGAACTAAACAGATGTTATTGACCTTTTGTTTTTATTGGTTACATTTTAACATGTATAGCTGGTAAAGTACTTTGTTGGCTAGCTGCTTTATCAAGTTTTTGTAATTTTATATACCATACACATTGCCCTCTTGGATTACTCACTAATATCAAGTCACTGTTGTCTGTATATTATATACAGCTATGATATTGTAATGTTTAGCTTAGCAACTCTCATGCAAGCTATCATTTGTAGATACAAACCTTAAGACAACACATCAATGATACATATCTACTGTCAGTATATATATATAAGCTAACATTTGAAAAGATACTAACATTAACCACTAGTTAATATGCCAACTATCTCAGACTATCCAACAATGACAAGTTACTGTTGCTTGTGTATCATGTAACCTTTAAAAAGCCTTTTAATAACAAGTTATTGTGGTAATTCCATTTTTACATCTTCCACAAAGAGGACTGTACCCAAGACTTCTCAAATACCAAAGAAATGATTTAATGAGTCAAAAGAATAACCCACTAATTAACACTAGTAAGGCACTTTTTTTTAAATAACTAAAATTGCTAGATTTTCCTCCTCTCATAAACAAGACCCATTTTCAGATCATATTTCAGTTATGAGATGACCACTAGCTGTTATGTTAACCTAACTGGCTCAGAACCAAGCAAATGACCTCCCAGCAAAGATAAAGGGTTAACCCCTTAGCTACTGTTTGTAAGGCTTTTTTTTTTTCAACAATTCAAACAACCATATTACTACTAGATAATACATCAGCTGTTTCAGACTAACAAAATTATATTTTTGTAAATGAACTTACTTTTAAAAACTTATTACTGACATATTAGCACTACTTTATAGATCAGCAGTTCTCGGACCACCCACCAGTAAATAACTGTTGGTTATGTATAGGTCAATCTCTGAAAAGCTATTACTAATATGTTACTAATATATTGCTCTAAACAATTACGGGATGATTGGAGTTTTCTATATTCTATATCTGACGAGGAACAATTACTGTTGTTAAATAACATTAGTATTACTAATGAGTTAATTTTTATGCAAAACAAATGTCAGTTTACCAGTCATCTGAAATAATTAGAGCTGAGCAATTAGCTGAACTTGCTAACTGATTAGTTGTTTAGCTCGTTTTCCTTACACATATTACTGGTCAAAGTGAAGATCATGAACTTTTAGACTTGCACTCAAACTTTAATCAAATAACTTTATAATCAGTGCATGTCAATAAACTTGAGATTAAAACAGTGTGTAATCCAATTTTTATATTACCTAAGTTTTAATTTCTTAATTTCAAATGGCAGTAGCTAAAAAATATGCATTTTGAATTCTCCCCCTTAGATTTTAAGCTATATTCAATAATATGGTTTTTAGAGTGCCCAGCCAATTAGAAACACCATCCATACATAATTACAAGCAAGAATTTAAAATGTGAATCTCACACCTTTGCTGAGATATCAATATATTTGAAAAACCCACCAAAGAAGCCCATATATAAATAGCTTTCAAATTATCAATTACATTATTTGTTAATAAACGATTGAATCAGTACTATAAAACAATAATGAATGAAATATATGTCTATATATCGCCTGTAGATTATAACGGATAGTATGTCTATATATCACCTGTAGATTATAATGGATATTTATAACCAATAAAAGGATCAGATTCTCCTTAAATAAAGCTTATTACAGTTGTTTATTTTGGACAGGTGACATTAAATTCTTTGTCAATGATCACTGTTGTTCAACTCAGAGTAGCTAACAGAATTTTTAACCTACTTATAGCTTACTTAGAAAACTAGGTAAATTATAGTAGTTTTGGGACATTATATTTGACTGATATACATATTCTTTTTTTGTTTACAAATACTTACTTGAAAGCTACATCAATTATTTTTCGACCAACCAAGTTACTGAGGAAAAATTAAGGTTAAGTGTAAACTGGAATCTGACAGCTAAAGGCTTGGAACTTGATGTAAGTGCTAAATTTCAAATTCTTTTATGTATATATTTTAACAAAGGTAAGTAAAATGTAAAAATTAGAAACTTCTTAAATTAGATAAAAATAATTTAAAATAAAATGAATGTCAGTACACAAGAGTAAATTGATTGGTTTGTTTACTTTAGCTATGTGTGTGTGTGAGGGGAGGGGGTTGATATGGGCTCCCACTGCAACTTATTGCTTTTCATTCACAGTGACAAAAAAACTTCTATGGAACAAATTCTGGCAATAAAACATTAAAATCAAATAGATGTGAAAAGATTAATTGTTGAAATTGTGTAAATAAGTAATTTGAAACTATCGAGTCAATTATGGTTTTAAAGAAAAGGAACAGGTTTTATTCCATATTTTTCAGCTTCTCATTTCACTACAGTTAGTGTTAGGGTAGAGAACATAGGAAATAAAATATGAAATTTAAGCAAAAAAACTTTTGATATTCATTTATAACATCCTAGAGATTATGCATAGGATATATGAAAAATCTAAGATGAGCATAAGTATTTTTATTCTTAACTTGAAAATTATCTTTCACTCAGACTCAATCTGTTAGGGTTTTGTGAATTCACATAAAATTTTTTAGTAAAACATTTTATTTAGAAAATCTAATTTTTTTTATGTACAACAGAATTGTAGTGTTTACTAAAATCTTGCCAAATTCTGTGAAGATACACTACATACATTCAGAGATATAGTATGTATAGTTTCACAGTTACATGGTGATTACGAGGGTGGTCAAATTGACCTAGCCTGTAAACAGGTGACTAACTGATTGCATTCAACTATTTGATTCTCAGAAGATGACTAAAAACTAAAATAATAATCCATTATTCTCATATGAGGTAGCTTAAAAACAACTTATAATGCTTAAAACTGGGCCTTGATACATGTGGTGGGATGAGCACAGATAGCTCATTATGTAGCTTTGCATTAAACAACAAACAAACATGATGGCAATATTTTAATTACTCAGATGGAATAATTGAGAACAGTAATAGTTGGAAACCCCAATTCTTAATTATTCTTGTGAATCAATTAAACTGAACAAGCTTGAATTAATAGAAAATAATGATGACAAATCTTAATAACAATATTTCAGTTACTGAATAGATGGAATAATTGAAAACAGTAATAATTCTAAACATTAATTTTTATTAGTTAACTATTCTTGTGACAATAATCAATGCTCATAGGTAATCAATTAACTGCTCGGCTGTAAATCTGATATGCACATTTCAGTTATATATATAAAAATGAAGAAAATCCAGTTAATAGTTTGAAGAATATTAATGTATGTATAGAAATCTGGATTGACAGAGAAACACGACAGGCCCCCCAAAAAGAGCACTTAGAAATTTCCATGACATTGGGAGCTACATGTTGACTACAGTTTTCGTAACATGATTAGTAGAATGTGGACTTGATTTCAGACCACCAATACAGTTTGCCACAGATGTGCATACAGTAAACTACTTTCATACCTCTATAATTTCACAATGTGGGCTCATTGCAACTAGTAGGCCTCAGCTTCTCCAACTGAGGCAACAATCCAGAGCATCAAATGAATGACAAGTCAGTGTGCAAATGGTCAGAAACAGCCTTCATAAAGTTGGCCTGATGACCCATAGTGTGTATTTCTCTAAATATGGGTTAGTCAACTGACATGTGAAAAACTGTCTTATTCACAAATGAAACAAGTTTTACACTGCAGTTCGCTACAAAATATGGAGAATGACTAGGACCAGATCCATCCTCATTTTATGGAGACATTCATGAGACATTGATGGCACACCGGTTTGTGCACTGGTGGTTATCCCAACTTCTACATGCTACAACACGGCACTATGAATGCTGTGTAATACAGGGATGCAGTGATTTAGCTATTAGTGTTGCATTGTGCAAGTTTAGTTGTTAAGAACTCTCTTCTAATGGACAATAACACATACTCTCTTTCATCATGCTCAACTAGTAAGTATCTTTCTAGAAGAATAGGATATTAAGCAAATGGATTTACCAGCATGCTTACCCAATTTTAACATACCATAACAAGTGTGGAATGTCTTATGAAGATGTCTGGCAGCAGTGTTGATGAAATGAAAACAGCTCTGATAGAGGAGTGGGGCATATAACCCAAGCAACTCATTAACACACCCTTTTTAAGCATGCCAATTCAATGTACAAGTTGCATTAGCACCCTCATGAACAAACGTTTTCTGATCATTTACTGATTTGCAAAGTCTATGTTTTAGCTAATAACATTTGTGATCATGAACTCAAGCAGTACATATCTGCATATCAGATAAAAGAACTAGTCACATGACACTTGTTTTGCATAAAAATTAGCACAAGGGTGTCACTGACATTGTTCAAACACAGTACTTGTGCCTTATCGCAGCTAAAAATTACAAAACTGGGATTATCCCTTAATTTTCTTATTTTTGCAGGGTAGTTCACAAACCTGCTACTTTCAAACTACTCACTAATTATAAGTTAATGTTATTTGTAAATCAGTTAACCTTTAAAATAAGCTACTGATAACATTACTATTAATTTGTATATAAGCTACACTATGACTACCAGTTGTTTGTTTTAAGTAAGACATCATCTGACTATCCAAACAAGAATTACTGTTGTTATAAAGCTTAGCTCAGTGGTTTCCAAACTGTGCATCACAACAAGTTGCTAGGGGTGTTGCAAGTTCCACCAGTTGAAGAATAATTAAGAGCGTAAAAAAAGACAACTATACAAAAAAAAACTGCATGTGGCTGAAGGGGTTTCATGTAAATCAAGGTAAGTGGGTTAGGGTATTATTAGTGAAAAAAGTTTGGAAACCACTGGCTTAGCTATTTCATTTCATCAGTATACATTAATACAATGAAATGAGCCAAAACAATCACCATTTGGTAATTTTCATGTTATGAGTGTTTTTATGGTGAAATAGTAACTTGAACTTTTTATCCCCAACTAAAAGAAGAGGAATACCAATGATAGTGCATCATAGCTGATTGATGTCATATTCTAGTAAGTTCATTATGATGATTACAAAAATAGTTTGGCTAATTTAATTAAAATTCTTAACATTTCAACTCAACAGTAAATTATTTGGCTGCATCATATGACATGAAAGTGTAACAACACAAATATTATTAACAAATCGCTGAAGTTGAAGAAAATCTTTATTCTGAAAAAATAGAAACTCTGGAATGTAAAAAAATCCAAAATAAGCCACTCTGTTGGTAACAATTGTTCATTTCTTTTCTACAGACTGTCAATTAGTGATGACAGTTAAAAATCTTTTTCTTTCTGACTGAAAAACACCTCAATTGATTATTAACATATTTATCATTCAAGCAGGAGAAACATACAGCACTTTTAACAAGTAACTAGCAATTTTGATCACTATTAAGACAAAACAGCATGTCATATCCAAGACTATTTGTTTTTATTATGTTTTTGCATTTGTACAAAAATTCCCAAAACAATATTTCTTATGGAAAATCCAAAGAAACTCTTTTATGTAGCATACTTCTTGGATAGTATAACAGTTTTTTTCTGATAGTGTTACTCAGGAACAATTTAAAAAATGGATTTCCTAATAACATTATTCATGAATGGTCCAAAGAAACATTCTCATGTAGCATTACTAAGGGGGAATTAAAATCAATTAATTGACAGTCAAAATAAGCTTTCCAACAAAACAATATTTATGACCAATGTAACTTTCCCACATAGCATTACTTATGACCCACCCAAAGCAACTTTCTCAGTTGGAATTATTAACGAACAGTCCAAAGATATTTCTCCAAAAATGCATTACTTGTGACTCATCAAAAAACTTTTTAACCCCTTATCCTCCATGGAAATGTTTTTTCCACTACCATAGCAGTGCTTTGACTACAACAAACCAGGTGCAAGGCACTTAAATTTGTGCGTGAGACATCTGGCATATATTCATGCAGGTGGAGATGGTGTCTAGCATGTGTAAATATATGGGTGGAGATGATAAAGGATTAATAAAAGCTTCTCTACATAGAACAAACTGGTTATCCATAGAGTTTATGAAAACTTCAACAACATAAAATACTTCCTTCAACTTCAAGATAACTCAAATTAAACTTTTACACCGTGTAATGAATTGGGACAATTCAATAAAGCTTGCCACATGTAGCATTTTCGTTAGTTCAGGTAAACATTTTTCTATATAACATTAATTTGGGGACATCTTAAAGATAGTATCATACATTTTTCTTTACCTATAGGAGTTTTTATGATTCCTGAAAAAACTCAGAAAATTTCCTTTACACTGTTACTCTTAAAAAGACATTTCTGATATGAATTTCACAGTTTTGTAAAATTTTCTTATGCTAACTGATCCTACTATTTAAAAACATTCTAACATCCATTAATCATGGACTAAAAACATTGCAATCCACATCAATATAATAAACCCAACTTTCCCAGGATACTGTCTTACCATTCTAAAATACACGTAGCTAAAGAACTCCCTTCATAGGTACATTAAACATTACAATAATGCTTATTATAATTTAATGCCCAAAACTTTTTCTTATTGTCTTAAACTTGGGTCATGTATCAAACATGTCAAAAAATTTGAAACATAAAACGATTTTGCATCTTACAAATATCATTAACATTTTCTCAGGCAGATGCTTGTGTAAAATATAACAATTAAGTCAAACTACAGTTTCTGTCCTTATATTAAAACACATATAAAGAAAGATGTGTTAACAATAACCTTCTACAGGCTAACCAAAATTTTCATATGCAAATCTAGTTCCTAAGTTCGCAAATTATTACCAAATATCCACAAAAAACTCATTAACAAGTAATCTACTGGTTTCCATTGTTATTTTCATCTTGCCAATGTACGGCCACAATCATGAACTAAGACTCACTGAATTACAGTTTTCTGATATGCATTCAGTAGAAAAGAAAAGACCTGTTTCAATATCCAAATTCTTAGAGCAGACAAATAAAATAGGTCTGTTACTTGACACCATGGACAGTACGGAGGTGGGATTTGATGTAGTCAGAACGACAAAACAATCTTCCACACAGTGGACACTGACTCTTGGATTGCCTGTCATGATGCAGACGAAGGTGTCGTTTCAAGTTTGTTGATAATGAATAAGATTTCTTGCACAGTGGGCATACGTGTCGTGCACCTATACAAGAAACAAAAAGCATCAACATATCTTTTATTTTTTTTTATAAGTCTTGGAGGGAAATGTTTTACTTTATACTTACAAAAGAACAGCATTTATTGTTGTACAATGCCAGAAAATACTGCATAATTATAGAAATGTAAAACTTTGAAAATTTGTTCTTGAACAAAATCAAACTAATGAAATTATCTATTAATCTGGTAAAATGAGAAAGAAAAAATCTGTCCTTTTTGATTTCAAAACAGCTTACTGTCTTTCAGCAAATCATTGGATTAAAAAAAAAGAGTTCATTAAATCTTAATAAACTTGAAATCATACACTGAATAATAACTAACACAATGCAAAAATATATAAACTCATTAACAAGCAAACTTTTCTTTCATTTTATTAGACAAAAAAAAAAAAGAAAGGCTAAGTCATGTTACTAAAGTGTTATTTTATCAGGTCTCGTTTCCTCTTCTTCTGCAAGTTACTAGAGCTTGTTCTGATGTTGTGGTATTTTATACAGTGCAATATGGTATTTACCCATAACACAATATCACACTACAGATTAATTTCACAGAAATATTTGCAAGTTATTAAACTTCAGACTCTTTTTTTGGCTGCAACTGTCTTAAGGAGTCTGATTTAGCAAGTTTTGTAAATTTCAATTTAGATTAGGAACTTATATAATGATGGGAAGAATTTTGTTGGGTTGACAAATTCTGTGCATGGTTATGATGATGGTCAATGCCAATTGGTGAACTTTCTGATGGTTAAGCTTCTGTGATCTAGGAATTAAATAAAAAAACTCGGTCAGTACTACAAAAAATAATTAAATGTACATGATGTGTGACTACATATAATCTTCTATTTTAATACTAGAAAAACCTCAGCATTAAATTCAAAAGGTTCCAAACATTAAGCTGAAGTAAAATGTTATGTTTATATACAATATCCCTTCAATGCTGTGAATTAGTTCAAGAAACTGAACAATGAACTTAAGAAATATATAATGCCTATGCATATTTACAGCACTTAAGAGAATAATTTTTATCACCCAACCAAACTAAATGAATTACAGGCACCAATGAATGTTTTTAATGTACTAGGAAAAAAAATGACTAAACCTTCCAATTGAAAAACATTGCCAGAGAACAGTTGAAGATTTATTAAACAATAAAAACGTTTATAAAATAGCAATAGTTAATGATATGTAGATATTTAAAAGAAGAGCACCTGAATTAATACCCATCAACATATATCTTGTAAAAGAAATGATAATACTTCTACAATTGTAGTTAATTCAATCACTGAAACAAAATCATATACATTCAAAAACTTAATAATAATAATAATTTTAGTTTAGGTTTGTGAATTAAGAAGTACATGTCATTCAATGAACAGGTTTAAGACATTTTCAAATAGTCTACAACACATGGAAATCTTTGGCAAGCATGACACCGAGGACAAGTGGAATTTATAACAAACAACTGTATTTGAAACTTTTAAGTTTCCTTATTACACATGACATCCACTTAAGAGAAAAAAGGAATTTAATGTCAAATGAAGCTTTTATTACCCTGCTTTATTTTTATCCAGTATGAGATAGAAATGACCTGAAAATACATCTTACTGTGTGAACAACAGACACTATGAATATAACCTTTAAAATAAATTACTGGTAAAGACCCGTTTCTTGATATGTATAAAAAGAGAGAGAGAGAGTGATGACTGCATTATTTTAGAAATTAAATGTTTTACCACTTTTTCAGAGGACTATACTTTATTCACATATACATTCAGTTGATCTATTAACTAACCTAAACAGAGAAGAAAAAGTTAGTATCTTACCTATCTATTTTCACTTCCATAAAAAAAAATTAAGGAATGTTTATAAAAAGACATCTTCATCCAAAGGGTTAATGAGCACTTGAGAAAAGCAATGTTCAATGATATGATATTGATATCATAGAAAAGCCATAACTAAAAAACGTTTTATTCCATCTGCTGTGTTATATTAGAGAGAATATTAAACATTTAAAACAAATGAATTTCCACAACAAATATTTTCAAATGTATTATTTTTGTCAATTATGGTGTGAACATTTTCATAATTGATTCATACTTTTTTGATGATTAACTGACTTATAAGTTATTGGATGTTTAACAAACAATTAAAATATTTTAAAGATTTCAAAATATCAAAATTTTTTATTGTTGTTTTTCATTAGTAAGAGAAGCTTTTTTAATGAACACGGAGGCCCTATTAGACAGGACTGATCTAAATATGTGGGCAGTAGTTCCTTGTGGCCAACCTTATCAACCCCTAAGGTTATAAATTTAAATATTCTAACAATAGAGCATATGAGATAATTATAAAGGTAACTAGTTACAGGTGATTGCTGGAACACACAATGATTGTTTGTCTTAAAACTGTCCGATTGTTATTGCTAAATAATAATAAATACTGCCGTTGAACATGTATACATGCTAATGTAAAAATAAACATTGTAGAAACTAAACTGATTTATTCTATTAGTCTCCAATTTCATAAATTAGCTTTAAATTACATATTCTCCATTCTAATTAAAATGTTTATGTATATAAAAAATACAGCAAAAACTGACCTAAGTCAGATATATAGTTCCCACACTGCTTCTCTGGAAATCATGGTAAAACTTTTACGCGGTGACCTAATGCAGTAAGATGGTTTACTGGTATTCTTTAGAATTCAATCTAACTATTTATTCTCTTTCTAAACTTTATGGTTAATTACACACTTTTCACTGCAAGCTCTATAAATAAACCACTTTCACAATAAGACTAACAGTAAATTGCAACACATAAAGAAATATTAAAATAACTATCATTGTTACACTTACAAAAAAGCTAAACAGGACAGTGAAACAAAAAATTATATTACTGCATGTTAAAAATCTGAAATTTCTTAAATTGATAAACATTTCAATCACAATAATTACCAGAGTCAGTGATTTTTTTTTGTCAATTCAGCAACAACCATTTTACTGAAACTTCTTAGTGCTGTCATGATTTTTCCATGCTATCTTCACTGCCTTTTTTTTACCTTTACTATCTAACCCCAATCTTCTATCTTGTTTAGTTATTAAATAAAACTAAAAACGATATTTGCATCTCTTTTTCTTAGAATGTGTCTGAAGAACCACTTCATCCAGCATGTTTTCAAGCTGATAAATTAATTGTAATGACAATTATGTTTCTGAACAACTAGTTTCATGTCTGATGATTATCTATATCAAAGAACTAGAAACTGATACCAGTGCCTCTGCTTCGAAAAGCAATAAATACAAAAAATGGTCTGATGAAGGTCATTTCTGTGTAGTATTGACCTTTTCTTTCCTTTTTGTTTCAACACTTATAACCATTTTCATGTAAACAGAGCAGTAGACATTATATAACTATAGTAGAACCAAAGTAACATTTCTGTAAATACATAAAAGTTTGACATGACTGTGAAAAAATACAAAACTACACCAATTATATTAATACAATAGTTTAAAATTAATAGATTTCATCCTTCTATAACTAGAAAATAACACCTTTTTCAGGCATTTTTCCATTTTTTTCATACAAGTGTTCTGCATTGTTAACTTTCTTGTGACCACAATGTAACAACAGTTGTAAACTTGCTATAATCCTTGTCACAGTGATTATTCTATAGAGCTTGTGCTTACTTGGCAAGTTTCTGTGTAATCTCTCTCTCATGGTGAGTCATAACCAAATGAAGGGGTTGTACAGAAGTTTGTACAAGTTAGTATGAGCTCGGAGTTAAATCTTTTCTTCAATACATGTAATAAATGAGAATAATCATTGATATGGATAACCTAAAATTATGGGCTAATGCATTGGGACTTAGATGTGGTATTGACACAGTTCTGCAATTTACTATCCCAAAAGATGTGACTTGATTCCTCTTGTATAAGTGTTATCTTTTATCAAAGTGATTTCTCTTGTGCCCAGTAATCAGTTAGCCCTAATGACATACAGAAACCAGCCATTTGAGGTAAAGCATAGCACCTACGAATGATAAAAATTTTATTTCTTGTCTTACACAGATTTGTATCTTTTTCTTACTGTCCATGTTATATCTATTCTCCCATGAGCAAATGTTTCCAAATTGCCTGTATTGTGGGCTTAATGTTTTAACTGCTTTCTTCAATGTTACTTAAAGAATACCACATCTTTATGTAAAAATACAGGTAGCAGCAGGCCTTCTAGCAACTTTAAGAGAAAAAAAAAAAGAGAGGTAAAATAAGGAAGATTTTATAAAAGTAGGGGTGAAGTAGGTAATACACTGAGTTGCATGATTAGTTGTATTTTTTCTGGCTAAAAGAAATGGATATATTTTCTGTTTTTCCTTTAGGAAAATAAAGCCTTCAGCCAATCAACCACCTGTGTGTGTCATTAAAAAATGAAGCCTTTTTTTGTCATTCAATAGCACAAAACTGGCTTGTATATTGACATAACACGAATCTCTCAGATATCCAACTGTAGTACTTACTGACAACCTAAACATTGTCTTTTGTTTAATAACCACAAAACAACATCAAGGACAAAAAAAATATTTTTCAAGAATGTGTAAACTGTCACTTCAAGAAACTATTTTATGACAAACTGGTTTTAATAAAATGGTAGACAGGTCAAACACATGACATGTCAAAACCTAGCCTTACTTCCACTATAAATATTCTTGTCAACACAAACACTGTTTGTTTTACACCATTACAAAATGCTGGAACTCACAATAGTAATGGAAAAGCATTAAAAGAATGTCCTTTCTACCAAGATATATAAGAGTCAAAAACATTCAGGTACAGATCTTGGTAACAAAATAACAATATTGAATAATTCACAACTTTGTAAAATGACAGTTCCCAAAATATCACTTATATTTAGATTTACATAGTTAAACGTATGACCAATGCTTCACAGCTTACATTAATATGAGAAGATTTAAGAAACAATATTTATATCTTTTTTTTTTAATTGAGAGTAATTGTTTTGGTTATTCTACAAAAGAATTTTTTAAATCAAGAATAATTCAATTTGTTTTAAACATTGAACATTATCATAGAACAAAAATACTAGTACAATAAGAGGCTAATCACAATTCATATCAAAATAATGAAATAATGTAATATTCAAATAAGGTTTATAAACTAGAACCTCTTTAAAATGATGACACCAATCACGTATATAACCATTGCTAAACATTAACCACTCCTCTAAAGAATTCCTAGTGTATGAATTTTAAAAGTAATTTACAAAAGACAGAGCTTTTACTTATATAAAATCAAAGAAGAAGGATAAAAATGCACTAACAGTAGCAGTGTAATGGATAACATACTAGATTCATTAGTGGGTAGTGTCACTTAACCAAAA